GGTTTTCAGTCAGCACTATGGTGTGGTTGTACGGTCTTTTCCCWCACATTTTAGTCATTCAAACATTGATGTACTTTCTATCTGGTTATAAACATGAAATGAAGTAAACGAACACGTCTCAGTTTCTTTTCTCCCTGTTGCATGATGCATGCTACATTGTTAGGAAATGACCTTCCCCATCCTGGATTGATGGGCTGCTACAGTTGCTTCTTAAAGGTTTTTGCAGAGGTCTTTCCTCTCACACCCAGGAAACTGCAAAAACATTTGCTTTTAAAGACGTTCAGCTAATAAACATTTAACATTTAATTAAGCACCGGTTTGCTACTGACCTCTCGTTTTTTGCACTTTTTGGCTCAGTTTTAGTGTAATAATTAAATATTCAATACAAAATGCAGTTTAGTGTGTAATGTCTTGTTTCATCAGAGGTTGTTATTTACCTCACTGTAAGACCTGATGGGTTATTCTGTAGTAAGTGAAACATGAGTAATGTTTATTTAGATGCAKGCTGTTTATCTCTACAATCACTCACGATGGCGTTCTTGCACTCGTGTCCTCTGCACAGCTCTGTGTAGGCTGTGTACTGCAAGTAGAGCACCCAGCTGCCCACCAGCACGGTCAGCCACGTGAGGAACAGGTACTTCACCCGCACGAAGGAGATCCGAGCCTGTGAGRGACGAGCAAAGACAAATACAGATCCTAAAATGAGTCTGAACAGAAACATGCAGATACTAAAAGAAAAACAATCCTCTATAGTTTACATCATTAAAGTGCCTGTATAAAAGTGCACATGTGCAACAATAAGCTCATTAAAATGTGATTTTGAAGCTGGACATATTTTATCTCCGGAGTGAGTTCTCTTTGTTTTTAAGGTTGGTTACARTAAATCAAATTACTGTCAGAGTCACAGGATGCAGCTATCACAAGTCTTTAAATACCTCGAACAGACTTCCTGTTGTTTCTGTAAACACTGTCAGTAAATTATTTGTCACGATGACAGAAGTACACAACTCTGGCTGGTTCTGTAAAGGAGTATTCCACCCTTTAACTACACCAGGGAACTAGCATGATCAAATATACATAAATTCAACTCAATTCAATTCAAAAATACTTCATTGATCCTAGAGGGAAATTAGGTAACATTTAAGTTACAGTTCAGAACACCCATTCAGAAGAACAAACTTAGGAGAACAGGTGCTCTGGGTCATGCAGCCACTGACCCTACACAGAGCAGGATCATCGTCATGAAGACATCACGAGGAGGCGCTACCTTAACAGAAAAACTAAAAACCACACAAGGGAAGATGAGGAAAAAACAAAAACAAAACATCACATATCATCAATGTGACACACTATGGTGYTTATAAAAAACCTCTGCATAGAGCACATTTATTAGCCAGAGGAGTAAGTGAGTTTAGGGGTGTCTGTATCTGAAGACATGAGTGTTGGATGCACTTGTGTGAATATCTGAAGAATGATCCCGAAGAATCCAGTCCGCAAAACTGTGACATTTTGGTGTTTCCACCCCCCCACCTCCTTGATTGGTGGCAGCGCTGACCAACCACACCTGTGTGCAATCTGGCTCATCTACTCCAGGCTTCTTAAGGCAGTGCCAAAGACCAACTCAGCGCTGGAGCATAGCCTCTTATTTGGTATGAGCTCAGCCCACCACTTGTTACTCTCTCATAGAGTTTTGTATTATCTGTTTTTTGTACTTACCTGTTTTCAGGAAATAGTTCTCCAGTATGTTTTTGCCTGCCGCCTTGAACTCCAAGCCTCTCACCAGTTTSTCATGCGCTGCCTCCAACGACTCACTGTAAATATCCACGCACCTGTAAATACTCACCTTGGAAATCCTACCTTTGTGGACCAACTCCTCCATGCTTCATCTCCTTCCCCAAACTGTAAGAACCTACCTGCTGCACTCGCCTGTTTAAGTAATTTTCTGGAAAATTATCAAGTACTCACCTCTACTACCGTTCTGTTCCAGGTCCAGACCCCAGATCCCTCCTGCACCTGTAAAAATAAAAATCACTTACCTTTTATCACTTGCCTCCGTCTCTGTTTGTCGCTGGTACTGCTCACGTTGACCCTAAACCTGTATTGCTGACAAAAACCAGCTCAGCCATAGTTCAGAATATTGATGTTAACTGTTCTTTCTGTACGGCCTTCAGCCTGCTCCAGGAACCAGATCAGATGGGTGGGGGCAGAGCCTCAGTCGACGTCAGCATCCAGGAAGATTTAGTTCCACAGCTCAAGGCCGTTGTAGGGGAGAGACAATTCTGTAATCAGTTGTTTTGGGAACCGAAGAGTCAGGCAGACAATAACAATTTTCCATCTACTTTAATGTCTGCTGGCACATCTCAAAGTGGCAAATCCAATCAGACAAATAGTGTGGACAATTCCGCCCAGCCGATTTATCAGCTTCTCCAAGATCAATTCCATCTGGCCAACAAAGTCCAGGGACCACAGCCGGCCCACAACCCTCATCAGAACTGTGTGCAGACCCGAGTCCAGCTCACTCAAGACAAATGTCCAAGTGCTGATAGTATGGCAATCCATCAAATTGGTCAGTAGGGATGACAAATCGTCCCTATTTTCTGATCATAAGATCATGGTCGCTGGCTATCACCGATAGACGATCCAATTGGCTGATAAGGCATGCGCAGTTACGTTGTTTAAAAAAAAGCAAGCAGGTCTGCTTATAAGCGACGGCTTCTTTTTTTCTAAAGTCGCTTGTAAATTCTGTGGTTATTGGATGTTCGTGTTCACACATACCTTTCATAGTTCCTGAGACCCCCGCGCCGAGCTCCTGGGAAACCCTCCTCCCCGCTGCACGTCACTACAGGGGATTTCTACCTGGAGGGAATCCAATGCGGGGAAAAAAGTCCGACACTCGTCACTTGATGTTGTTTATCCACAAACTGGTCCAGGATTAAGCTCAAAAGTTTTTATCAGTTATTATTGGTCAGGCAGCCATGAAATGAATAGCTACCGACRATGTTTTGTAGAACACCAGGAGACCACCCAGCCAATCTGTAGAATCCAGTGATCAGAATCCAGATGTAAATCCAGAACAGAGAAGAACAGAGGTCCCACCTTCAACATGTCCTCCCATGGAAGAAGAAGAAAAAACTTTGTTCCAAAAAGTTTTATTGAGAGACCAGCTAACCAAGTCCATAAAAATAAAAATATCCATAATTTCTGGTTTCAGATGAAAAATGTAGAGAATCTCCAAGCAGCAAAGCAGGGAAAGATAAGGAAGAAGCATCTTACTCCTCTGAGAGCAGAAGAAAAAAAACAAACAAACAAACAAACAAACAAAAAACGTAACATTTCTATGAATATAGGTAAAGCACATCACCTGCTGCATTTAATGCCTGAGATCATCGGATGATGAGAAATGACAAAGTTGTAGCTGCTTTATTCAAACCTTGAAAAAGAACTTTATGCACAATCTCATGTGACATCACAAGATATCCCACTCAGGCTATGAGATGTGATTGACTCTCAGCTACTTTCACAGCAAATCTTGGCTCAATGTGCAAAACTGACAGATTTAGATATTTCTGTGTTTGAAAATGACCTGTGGCAATCACGTTATATTAGATCAACTTCAAAAATTTCTACAATTTGTAGATGAACATTCAAGAATTTGTAAAAAAAATACAATAAATTTTATCCAGTGATTCATGAAATATTTTATTAACAGACATACAAATGGGAAAAACATTTTCTTTACTTTTTAGCAGTGAGTGATAATCTATAATCTGAACTTTCATGCAGTTACGTACAGAGGGATTCTTGTGCAGAGCTTCCAAACAGACAGAGAACAAAATACGGTATTAAACACTTAAATATAAGAATAGAGTGATACAAATCAACCAACATAATAAATAACTAAGCACTCGGAGAATGCAAACCTCTGCCAAGACCAATTTCCCCCATCCTGTAATAGAGTTACAAAGGGGCACACCAATACTACAGTGCCACCTGCTGGACACTTTGAAACCCGCACCCTATGAAAGCATCACAGCTTTGCCGATCTCAGAGTGTTAAAAGAAAAAAAATTCCTGTATCCGCATCGTGATCCRGAACATCACCAAAATTTAAAGATGTGTTCTTTGGCCCAGTATCCACGTGTTGTAAATGTCAGGACAATCCGTCCACAAGTTTTTGAGTAATGTTGTCCACAGACGGGCCAAAAGACAGACCGACATACGAGACCGAAAACATTACCTCGCCCTTGGTGGAGGTAATAAAGCAGCAGACAGGTAAGTATTGCACTCTGAGTATTTGGTCATCCAGCATGACTCCTGGTTTACYGTCTGTCTGACTAACAGGAAAGAAGCTTTTCTGAAACTTGGTTCTGTTATGTAGCCGTCTGCTCCTCCTCAGGCTGTAGGGAGGGTTTTCCTGCTTGAGGAAAAACTGAGCAGGAAGGAGTTTGACTTTAATTATTTGGGGAGATTATCTTTTACAAACAACCCTGTAAAAACATCTTCCTTTGTGTCGTTCCAGTTTAAGAAGCTACAGCCATAGGTGGATCAGTCATAATTGTTCTCACAACTTTGGAGAGTCTTCTTCATTTGTGTGTTGTTGTGGTACTACAGAGATGCTCGTGGTGGGGTTGTCACCACCAGGCTCCTGTAGACCACTGTGAGGGCAGGAGAGTGGGGTTCACAGACCAGCTCAATGTGATGAGATGTAAAGATCAATGAACTTATGACTGTCCACCCTGGTGAGGGGGAGCAGCTGAGGAGCTCCCTTCCAAGGTGATAATAACTTCCCAGGTCTTTTCTACTTTGAGGATGAGGTGGTTCTCCTCTCCGTAGGCCAGAATACTTCTGAACTCCACCCTTTACTCGGTCTTATCTCCTCCCTAGATGAGGCCCAACATGGTTGTTCAACAGCATATATGATGATGGCTGTGTCATTGGAGACACGGGSGTGGGTGTAAAGAGTGAGGAGCTTGGAGGTCCAGTACTGACTGTCAGCTCCCATCCTTACAACCTGTGGTCTGTGTATGAGAACATCTAGGATCAACTGCAGTCAGGACCCCACGCCTATTACCAAAAGTATTCACTCACCAGCCTAGACTCACACGAGCTTTAGTGACATCATTCCTGATCCACAGGGTTCAATACGATGTTGGTCCACCCTCTGCAGCTAGAACAGCTTCAATTGAAGGCTGTCACAAGGTTTAGGAGTGTTTATGGGGATTTTTGACCGTTCTTCCAGAAGCACATTGGTCCATATATACATACTGATGATGGACAGAAGGCCTGGCTCTCAGTCTCTGCTCTAATTCATCCCAGAGGTGTTCTATCAGGTTGAGGTCAGGACTCTGTGCAGACCAGTCCAGTTCCTCCACACCAGACTGACATCCATGTCTTTATGGACATTGCTTTGTGCACAGTCATTTGAATGGGTGAGGAAATACTTTTGGCAATATGTTGTATCTGTTATCAGTTTTCCAGACCAAACACAAACGATGAGTACTACTAAATCACTCTCGCCACTCTTGGTTTAAATTTTTGACCATTTGTTTTTATTTTTAACTGTTTTTTAAACAAATTATTTCATGAACATCTGGAAATATTTGAATCAACATATTGTAAATAATTATTGGATGTACTGTACATTTATAACTAACTTTGGGTCAAA